AGTGCCAAACCCCGTCAAAAGCCTTTGATATATCCAGAAACACAGCTGAACAAGTTTCTTTGTTTTCTAAAGCCTTTTCTATTTCGTGCGTAACTCTGTGTACTTGTTCGATTGTTGAGTGTTTTTTCCGAAATCCAAACTGATGATTTGGGATAAGATTTCTTTGACAAACTACTTTTTCAAGTCTTTTACAGATAAGCTTTTCGAACAGTTTTCCTATGGTTGGCAGGAGAGAGATTGGTCTATATGAAGTTGGAGAATGTTGGTCCTTATCTGGTTTTAGTACCATCACAACTTCAGCAACTTTCCAATAGCTAGGGACATGATTTAATTTTATACTCGCATTAAATATCTGTGCAAGTTTGGCTACTCCTTTTGGAGGTAGCTTTTTCAACACTTCACTAGTTATGAGGTCATATCCTGGTGATTTCTTTAATTTCAATTTTTTGATTTCCCCAGTTACTTCTTTATTTTTTATCCGCATAATAGCTTAATCATCTATGTTGTTATTTGGCTCTATATGATGGGTTTCTTCTTGATTGAAGGTATTACTTAAGTATTCAGCCAAAACTTGTGCCTTTTCAATATTGCTTTTCGCCCATTCATTATTATCTTTTTTTAATGGAGGATTATGAGTGATCGGTCTTTTATATTTTTTCATAGCTTTCCAGAGAGAATAGTTAGTTTTGCTATCATATGTCAAGTTTGTAAGATATTTCTTAACATTTTCATTTTTAAAATTACTGATTTCTCTTCTTATTTTTTGAGTGGCATTATTAAGGTTTCTTTTATCTTGTATTAATCGTGATTGTTGCCATTTTTTACGTAATTTTCTTTTATTATGGACTAGATTTAAAATTTCGACCGGATAGTTTTTATCAAATTGCTTACTATTCTGCAGTGGAGAACTGCGCCATGCCGATGTTTGAATCAAGCTTGTAAAGCAATGCGTTTCACTCTCTAGGTCATTTATACTTCGTATTTTGCAGGATAGGTCAATATTTTCATTTATCTGGGCCTTAAAATAATTCCAGTCTGTTAGACGGTTTGTTAGTGTCGGTTTAGGTATCGTAGATAGAATATTACATCCATAAGTAAGCAATATTGGAGAATGATCAGAATTTAAGTCAAGTCCTGCTTTAACTTCAATGTCTCTTTTTTGAATTTTATTTACAATAAAGAAATCAATGACATCTGGTAACTTATTTCTATCAGTTGGCCAGTATGTTGGAGAGCCTGTGGAGAGAACTTCAAAACCTGTGGCCCGACATGCTTTAAGTAATTCCTTACCCTTTGTGGTATTTAGTCTTGACCCCCATTGAACATTTTTTGCGTTAAAATCACCACCAATTATTGCTTTATGATTGTGTAATTTTAATAGATCTACGTATTGTTCATATTTTACGTTATGTCTTGGTGGACTATAGATGGACGTTATTTGTATTTTGGAACCACTCTCTTCAACTGCAACGGTTGTTGCCTGGAACTCTTCATTAGAGAGTTTATTATCTTGATAATGCTTAATGTTGGATTTAATTATAACAGCACTTCCGCCTCTAGCATTATTGCTTGGATGGATAGTATGATAAATATTATAGTTTTTAAAATTGATATACGTTTCTTTTGTAAAATGAGTTTCGCTTATTAGGCATATGTCTATATTTTCTGTTAGCAGAAGTAATTCTAATTCGTTTTTGTGTTGAAGCAAACCATTTGCGTTCCATTCCATAATTTTAAGAGCAATCATACAGATGTACAATTATGTTTTTGTTCTAAGTTGTCTAGGCGATTTTCTATTGCCATTAGTTTTTCAAGAATAACAGAGAGGACATTTTGTGATTCATCAGATATATTTATTTTTTGGGATACGGAGGTTGTTGGCTTAATAGCGTCTGCATATGATACTTTAGCGATTCTTCGACTTGAGTATATTATTGGTCTTTCGATATTATCTGTTTGAACTGGGACAGGAACTTTTTTTGTTTTTTGGTCTCTTAATTTTTGAAGCTCTTTTGCGACTACACAACCGCGATATGACGCTGGGTGTTGCTCCCCACAGTTGCAACATTTTGGGTGACTATCATCGGGTTTTTCACAATTTATAGTTTCATGCTTACCTGCACATTTCACACACCTTGGCTGCTTTTGACAGTAGTTTTTGGTATGGTTGAAAGATTGGCATTTGGTGCACTGCGGAATAATTTTAGAGGGTTTTATTGTTTCTATAGATACTATCGTATTTAAGATTTCTTTGATTTCATGGATTTTGTTCGTATCTTCTACTGCCTCAAAGGATAATATGAACATATCCAGTGGTTTCTTAGTTTTAAATTGTAGCTTATTAATTGCGCTGACAATTTTAAAACCCTTTTCTGCAAGGTCGCCAACAATATCTGTAGGGTCGCATGAGTGATGCAGGTTTTTTGCTATAACTCTTATTGGTCTAAGCTGTTTATGTTCATAAGAGTGCCATGAGAGATTTGCTTCATTTAGAGCTCGAGTTACTTCCCGATAATCGTTACCATCGAAAGTGCTAATTTTACATAAGTCGTTATTCATTAGTTTCAGCAAAAATTTATTTTTGCTTTCCTTTGTAATAATTTTTCTTATGTGATTGTAATTATCAGAGACAGTTACCATAATTGGAGGTGGACGAAGCTGGGTTGATGTCTTTTCCGTTTCTTTAGAATGCTTTTGTGTCATATTGTTGAGAGTTGGTGACACACTTGGAGATGTAGTAGCTTTGCGCTTTTTTGAGGCTCTTTTATTATTTCTTTTCACGATCCAGTCGGTTTCACGAGCAAGCTCTTCCTCGTCTGTTTCGAAAGTTATGGTGGTTTGCTCTTTCGGAACATTATTGTTAATAAGTTGCGACCTTAATTTTTGGTTTTCACTTTTGAGTTGGATAATTTCTTGATGAAGTTTGCCGCATAAGACTTCTAATTCTCTCATTTTTTTATTAAGAGCTTCATTATTTTTGTCATTAGTGTGGCTGGTATTTGTGGACATGTTAATTTCGTATGGAACTATATCTTTTGTACTGTTTGGAGAAATTTTGTTTAAATTATTATTTTTATTACTAATTAATTTAATTTTATTTGCTATAGCAATCTCACTAGCGGTTTTTTTAATGTTTATTTCGGTATTCGATTTACCTATAGTTTTGTTTATAGGTTGATCGTTTATTTTAATGTCTTCTGCATTAAATGTTATGTAGCCATTTAGGCCATTTTCACTTATTAGTGAATGTCTTCGTATATTACTTTTACAATTGTTCATAAAAAATTAAATATTAAAAGAAATAAATTTTTTAGTTTGATGATCACTGATTATATAGTATATATATAGAATATTAAATTTTTACAAAAGAATTAAAAATATACACTGTGGCAACGCCACTTTTATAAATTGCAACTTTCGTTAAGGAATAAACAAACAAATGCTGTCTCTATCAGCTGTTTTGAAAGTATTAGTAACTTTCAGCAATTTTATTGCTTTTGATTAATTTGTTTTGATT